GTCATCCTTACAGAGGAGCCATGCTAATCTTCTTTGTGTTGTTCCAATTTTATTGGATGTCCCTGATGCTTGAAGGGACTTTAATGTGTGTTTTTTAATGTAGCTACATTATTAGAACAAGTTTGAGCATTATATTGTCGTGCTCGATTGAAAATTAATCTTTTAAAAATGTTTTTTTTACATTTACGTGAACTTAAATTCATGATATGTACATGTTGAAGCAATCAAAGTCTATTTCATTAGGATCAATGATTGTTAGTTGTCCCAGGCTTTTTTACCCGTATCAAAACTCAAAACATTACATGTATTTTTTCCCTAGCTCATCCTCCATTTACATACTTTAAAAATAAATCTAATAGGAAGAAAGAAGGGAGAATGACAGAAAAAAGATCCCAAAATATGCTAAAAACAATTAAGTATTGTAAAATGTGATAATTATTTTATAGTTCTTGAGGACTTGTTTGTCAATTGATTTTATTGTGAAAAGACTTCTTTATCCTTTTAGAAAAAATTTGCACATAGTGACTTTTAATTTATTATTCCATTGTAGTCATTTTTTCAAGAAAACTAGTTATTTCTCAAAAGAAAGCGGTAACTGATTTTTAATTGCTAGACTCTATTGATAAAAAAAATTTACACCAAACAACTTATAATTTGTAATTTTGTTCTAGTTATTTTTAAAAAAATATAGTCATTTTAGTTATTAGATTTGATAAAATAATTCATACAGAACAACTTTTAATTTAATATTCCACTCTAGTTATTTTTTAAAAGAAATGACAACTTATTTTTAGTCACCACTTTATTTTAAATTTTAAAACAGTGGCAAATATGCCATTTTTCAGAGCATAAAAATGTTAGGCAAGTTTCGTGAGACTAAAAAAATAATTATCATATTTCCTGTTATCAGATTGTCATTTGCATATTATTTTGGGGATATTTTCCTATCATTATCTCAAAAAAAAAAAAAAAAACAGAGTGAAGAGGGGCAAAAGGCAGAGTGATACCACCATCCGGAATTTGGTGGCCGCCGGTGGCGGGCTTTGACAGTTGATTATTGAGGTTGAGAAAAGCAATTTTTTTTTTTTGGCTGGAATGAAACCATTTTTATTAACCGCGTTAAACTAATAACTAGTAAATGAAACAGAAAATTATTGAGAAGTTGCATGCGAGAATTTCAATTACCCTAAAAATTTATAAAATGTATAAAATATTCTCAAGTCTTAAATCCTATGCAATTATAATTTGATAAAGAAAACTAATAACTTAATATTAAACTTATGTCCAAGTTATCATTCTCTTTTGTCAAGTTCTCATTGTACAGAATTTAGAATTTAGAAGTATTTTATACATTTTATAAAATTTTTTGGTAATTAAATAGTGATTTTCACTGAATGAAATGAAGTGTGATGTGTAAAATAAAAAAGGAGACGTCATCTGGTAATTGGACAGCAGAATCAAAAGTTTATATAAGAAAAGAATTGCATATAAGTTTTTTTTTTCCAATTATTATATCTCTCCACCAATCTCAATTTAAAGTGACTTCCTTAGTTACTATATTCGGTTGCCCCCATCCGTTGGTAGTTTATCTTTAGAGCAAGATACTTTTACCTATTTTCAATTTTACTTCAATTATAAATGTCTCCTTTAGATTTTTAAGACCCGTACGAACCTTTCATAGTATAAATAGTTATTAAAAAACATTTTTTTATATTTTTAAAATTTTATTTTCATCTCTCTAATTATTAATTGACCATCAAGTCATATATGTCGGATCAAAATACCACTCTTTAAAAATAAATTATATTTAAAAGTTTTTGAAATTACCCAAAAAATAAATCCATATAATCTTATATTCTTGTTTATGTTTTAAATTTTTTGATTACGTAAATGCATTTATTTAGTGATTTTTCAAAAAATTAAATATATAAATGCTAAAATAATATTCAAACACATAGTTAAAAAATCTATAAAATAGGAATTTAATATAATAAATGATTTAATATAATTTATGTTTATTTTTCTTTAAAATTGATTAATTTAACACAAAAATTTTAAATTATTTATTTAAATATTGACATACTTAATTATTTAAAGCTTTTTAAAACAGGGAGAGAGGGAGCAGACAATTAGATCATAAGAACAAATTAATAATTTTAAACATTTTAACATAATTAAAAATAAAAAATTAAGTATTCTAAAATTTTTAACATGATATTTCTAATAGTATTAAAAATTGGATTAAAGTGTATGCTTTGAAAATAAAAAGGACATCTCTATAATTTTAACAAAATGAAAGAGATATCGTTGTATTTTACTCTATCTTTATGTGGCAAGCGTAGGGGGTCAAGTCAATCCATAATAAATCAAGATTTAATTAATTAATTATGTGTGTATCGTACACCAGTAAAAAAATGGATTTTGTATCGTACTTTAGGTCTCTCCATGCATAATCTTCTCGGTTGATTAATGGAATGGTTAAGAAAATAGTTTATAAATGGACAATATATTTGGTTTAATTGTCTGCATTTATTATTATTAGTGAAATACTTTTTCAGACAAGATTATAATGGTTACGTGACTAAATGAGGATACAGGGATACACACATATGTAGTTTAAAATCATTGTTAATAATCTTTACCATAAAAAAATCAATCAAATGGATGACAAAGAGCGTGTTTAGGGGAACAAGATAAAAATATACAAAGAGAAAGTATTGGGATGATCTATATATATTTTTTATAACAAATAATTAAATGAACAGTAGAAGCATGTCCTTCGTTATTCAGATCCTCTATGCATTGCAAAATATTTTTATTAATTATTAAATTTCATAATTACATATATATCATAATTTTTAAAGATACGTTTTTATTTCTTTTCATAAGTACAAATCAACTTAAAATCAATGACGGTATCGATATTATCAGTGTAAAAACTATTACAAACCATTCATAATTGAGGAGAGTATCATTTAAGGACCTCTAAAAATAGGTAATATCAAGATAGGACCAGTCAAGGGCCCAGAGACTGAATTGTAATTAAATTTTCTTGATCAATTATAAAAATGCCCTTCCCCTATTGCCACCGTCGTTGTCCTCGGTACCGGAAATCTGGTCCACCATTGGTATTTTATCTCCAAGGCTCCAACGACGAGGTTGCTAGCGTCAACAATAGTAGTTGGAGCTTTGTTCTGGTGACAATTTGAATTTTGAACAGCTATTCTTAAGATTGCACATGAACAGGGTCGAGATAGGTTTTACTTCTGCCCAGTGTCCTGCTCATATACAAATTCAGGTCAACTGATGCTTGATTGATTTAAAAATATTTTTACAAGACTTTTTAAAAATACATAAAAACGTTTTCTTTAAAAAAATATTATTATTATTTAAATATATTTTTTATAAAACTAATATTAAAATCAAAATTTATTTTTTTAAAAGTTTAAAAGAATAACAACTGTTAGTTATTTTTACATGATAATAAGTTAAAACAAATTTTAAATTTTCAAAATGATTTAAAAAATTATAATGATAACAAATTCTAAAATTTCATAAAAGTATACTTTATGATAAATGTTAATAAAAATAATATTATTAAATAAATATTATTTATAAAAAAATTTTAAAAATAAAAAATTGGCAAGGCCAGACTACTAGACAGTTGGGCATAGTGCATAGCCTTCTTTAAATGGCTTGCTATTATTTTAATATGATTACTTGTTCAGGGATACTGACACGTTATTATTTGAATTTTGATAGCTTGTGATCTTTTTTTTTTCCTTGAACAAATCTGATGGCTTGTAATCTGATTTCAAAGTTTTGGCGGACAAGCTGCACTTCACATTTTGACAAATTATTTTCAAATATTAAGAGCTTGTTTAGTTTCATTCTATTTTTAATTTTTTTTAAAAATATTTTGTAAATAAATGTTTAAAAATTATTTTTTAAAACAAAATAAAATGAAAGCCTATTTAATTATGATAATTTAAAATAATTTTGGAGTAAAAAAATGACCAGTAGTGGCAGTCGCCAATGACAATGATTGACCATGTTTATAACAGGAAGATAATTTACAATAATCAAATGTAATGTACTTTAAAAATAAAAAAAAAATAACTACTTTCTCTGTTAAAAATATAAGTCATTTTTTAAGAAGTTAGATATTAAAAAAAATGTAAAATATTTTTAGTTTTCTAAGATGTAGTCATTGACTTTTTTTAAAAGTGCCCCTATTAATAATGACTTTATATTTATTATAGAGTATTTAATAGAAATAAATATGAAAAGATAGGGTTAGTTGAAAAGTAGAAAACTACTTTACTGGGAGGATGAGATTTGATTAAAAATATCTTATATTTTTGAATGGAGAGAGTATAAATTATTTATTCTTCTATTTTTTTAATTAAAAATAGAACAGTTTTTAAATATTTAAATGTAAAACGCTCAGTTAAATGAGTTTTTTTAACTACACAAAAATTAAAAACAACAAAGAACAAGTCCTAAAAGTTGTGTTCGAATCGAATTTTGACATGTCATTCTTTGAACAGTTTTGAATATTAACTAATGGTTTTTGTTTATAATATTGACAACTTAAATTTGCATTCCAGCAAGTTATTGGCTAACTTCAAAGCTCCAATGACCAGTTTGTAGATCAAATTTAAAAAGTTATATTTTCAATTTTAACAATTTATTTTTCTTAAATATTAATTTTATCTATATTTATAGTTAGTCTTAAGTCAAAATAAAAAAGAGAGGGTTGTGTTAGGTTTTTAACAATAACTTTGTTAAATCTCATATATAGATATGGACAATAGACATTTTTATATTGCTTTTGTATTTTTTTTTAAATATAAGAAGTTGTAGTTCGAATTTTAATAAGTTATTGTCTAAACAAGCTTTGAACATTGATTTTATTATTTGGCCAAAAAAAACATTGATTTTATTAAAATCTGAATTACAACTTAATAAAATTTGAACTAAAATTTATCGCTAGTGCCATGATACAATTGCTGGTGATGGGGTTCCGGTGGCGGGACCAGAGGGATTTTGATAATGGTGGTGACAATGGTGGACCAGAGGGTGAGTTTTTACAATTAAGGGGAAGGCATTTTGATAATTGACCAATAGTGTATTTACAATTTAGTCTCGCGATTCTTGCATACTATTTTCTTGGTTGTACAACAATAAATAGGAAAATATCAATAAAAACATTTTAACCAGACTTATTTTAAATTAAGCTTTTAAATTTATGAAATATTACTGCAGTATGAGGTCTTGCTTTGATATTAATATTTGAGAAAAATGATAAAAGAACTATTTTACTTTACACTTATTTATTTATTTTACTTGTTTATTTACTTATAAATGTTGTTCATTATCCTACTTCGCTTAATTTTATTTCAAATGTTTAAATTATCTCAAAATAACTTGTTGTTTCTTGTATATATATTATTTCATTTATTTAAAAAATGTCGTTCACTGCACCTACTTCACTTATTTTTGCCAAACTTTTACTTGATTTTATTTCAAAGAAATGAATAAGTAAAGTGTAACAATGAACAATATTAAGTAAGTAATGAACAATTAAAGTAGGGTAATGAATAAATCAAGTAAGTAGTTCTAATATTAATTTAAATGAATACAATCGTGTCATTCTCTTGTAAATTTAATATTAAATTAGGACTTCTGAATTGCAATAATATTTTAAAATTTTAAAAGCTTTAATTTAAAATAAGTTTGGTCAATAAGTCTTTATTGATATTTCTTTAATAAATAACTTACTTCAAAAATCCTCGAAGGGAATTCTCCCCTATGACATTATAAACAACATTAATTCATGTATCAATTTCACATGCCACAGAGGAAACTGGCCCAATCAAAAGATGAAAACTCTAATTTTTTCTCATTTAATATAGAGTTCTTATTTTCTTTCTAAAGATTGGTTGTTTTATTACATACGTTTGCACTTTAAATTTAACAACTAATACACTAAATAATCAACGGATTTCAATTTAGGATTTTAAAATGTTGAATTAATAACAAGCAAGTGTGAGATAAAATCTTTTTAAAAATAAGTTAAAAATAACAATTCAAAGTTCAAACCATTACGAAAACCAGAATTTTAAATATAACTAAAATTAATGGATATTTGTAGTTTTTTTAAAGATTTTGTCCACGGTTTTTGATTTAATATTTTGGAATTTACTTATTATTTTTTCTAAATTGTACGCATCACATGACCATCCTATCTCCATCCCCCAACGCACCCACGACAACCTCCCCCCCCCCCCCCCCCCAAAAGAAATTGTTTTTGAGTACCTCTTGATTTTCCCCTCTCACCCAATTATAACAAGAAAAAGCTGCCGTGTTTTTCTCCCTAAAAGAAAAGAAGTAAAAAAATTGATTATTTGGGTTCACTTGTTCATGAATTATGTAAAATTTTGAAGTTTTTAACATAAAGAATTATTTTGTTACATTTTGTAAGAGTTTTATCTTCTAAAATTTTTTAATATAAATGTTCCCACAACCATCCTCTTCCCCGCAGGGCACGCGATTCGGACGCAGATCGCCGACCGTTTTTCCGTCCCCACACGTAGAAACCTTCCTTTGAATGCAATTCAAACATCCATAACGCCACTCTCTTCTTCTCTGCCTCCATATCCTTACTTAAACCTCACAAATGCTTCACATCCTCACCCATTAAATGATCAGTTTTCCCATCCAATGTCTCGTCGCTTCAGCTTCACGCTCTCCCTCTCCCTCTCCCTCTCCCTCCTAATCCTCTGCGCTCAGGTCCGCGCTCGCTTTCTTTCTTCCTCCTCTGATCTAGTTTCCGATGGGATCCATGATTTCCGGGATTCGCCGGAGGACAATCTGCTCCGGTTTTCCCTGCCGCTGACGGAGTCTACCTGCGACCAGACGTACGGGTTCTTGCCCTGCACCACCAGTGTAGTCGGGAACTTGTTCCTTATCATCGTCTATGGCTTCCTCATGTACAAGGCCGCTACCTATTTGTCCTGTGGCAGCGAGCTGTTGCTTGAAATCTTGGGCCCGGGGATCGTTGGTGGCTTGTTTCTTCCCATTCTTGGCGCCCTGCCTGATGCCATGCTCATTCTCGGTAAGGATAGTATGATTGCAATTTCCGTTTTAAATCTCGCAACTGAAATATATTAAGATCTCATAGAACTGCTAAACTGTGTTATAATCAGTAAAATAAAGATGAATTCATGGAGATATTAGTAACTGTGTTATGCCTTGTTATTTCATCATGGATGTTCTAGATGGATGGAAAATCAGAATAGCCTTCTCTTTGAAAATGAAAACTCGAGATACGACGCTGATATGAGTTGTTGATAACTTTTGTAACGGCGCTATAATTTGTCTTGGATATTCAGGAGTTTTCCGCCTCTGCTCATTCTCAATCTCGATTAAGATTTTCTTTATCTGTTCGATTAGCTGGAAAGTGTCACCGAACTTTCCTTCTCTCCGGACGGTAAGTTAATTTTGTCTGTGGGCGTCCTGTAACCACTTTCTAGCTCCAAGCCTCCAAAGCAGTTGTTCAGCTTGTACCAATCTTATTCCTAACCCAACCAAACCTGACCAGGGGGCAGAAAAGGGATTGAGATAGGGTAAATTCGGCCGTTTTGTCTTGATTTGACCGAACTTTTTTTAAAGTCCGGAAAATCGAAATTGTCCTTTTCTTTTTCGTGGTTCCTGAGATTGGGCATTGAATTGGATTTATTTCTTTAAGTAAAACCAAGAAATTTTTATCCTATCTGATCATCCCAACTTTGATGACTCGTCTCCATATTCTCGTCTACGGTCGAGGATACTGCTGCAGGCATAAAAGTTTTCAACTTCCCCCAAAGAATACTTCTTGAATTTTCTACCTAAGGTAGCTAATCCTCAACCTTTTAGTTTTAATTATTTTAATAACAACTAGACTAGATTTTACATCCTACGGAAACGTTAAATTTTTTTTTTTTTTTGCATAAAAAAGTTAAAAATTAATAGAAATTAAATATTAAATTGACTGTATAATTTGTAAGAAAATAATAATATTTAGAAAGGTAAAATAATTCTATAAACAAGTTACAAATAAATAACTATAGCG